ATGGTCTCTGGTGCAGCAGCGGTAGCCGTCGACTGTGACGAACCCGCGGCGACGGGTGGGCGTGGGTACGGTTCATGTGAAGCGGGGTGCGGGGATGGGGTTGAGAGGTTGTATCGATGTGTACCGTAATCGATACACGCACAATACGACACGAACACGCGCGCGGTGCGCTATTTCGTTAAAACCGCGAACGTCGGACAGCGAAATGATGTTTTGAGGCCAAGTCGCCCCCCTCCCGGAGATGGGGTTGAAGAATAAGGAGACTGATCTGACGGGATAAATACAGTTATCGGCATCGTTTCCCTCGTATCGGCTCCACGTGCACTCGTAAGTACATATAGGTAGGTATATGCATTATATATATGTATATATGTATATAATATATATTGTATATAAAATACGAAGCGCGTTCATGTACATGGTTGCGAGTTATACCGCGAAAACGTGTGCCGAGGATTGGGAGGCTCGAACGGGAATCGTTTATATTCTCGCTGCAATGCTGTGGGACAAATCGTTTTTCGTGTGGTTGTTATTTGTATTTTTCCCCCGCCGATTTCGCTTTGTAATATAGTTATAAGCGTACTTATAAAATAAATATTCGTTCGGCCATCTGCACTATCGGCCATTTTTTTTAGATTCGTAAAACGCTGCGTCGGGGACGTGGTAGAAATATTGTTTAAAAAAGAGGTTGATACAACAATGAAAACAATTTTACATTTGTCAACATAAACGAGAAAATTAATGCTATATTTTACACATATTATTACTTATAAATACGGTTTATAATTATTTATTGAATATGACATTTACTAAATTGAACCTATAATGATACAATTGAGTTTCAAATGCTTATTATATCAAACCTTAACCGACGACGATGACTGTTTTAATTATAAATATACAGTCTTTGGGATGCAACAAACAAATAAAAATGAAAAAAGTAATAAGAAATAAATGTTATTCTAATCTTTTTTTTATTTTAACTATTATGATTTATGATTATACTTGGCTGTAAATGTGAAAAGAATAATCTTAGGTAATTATATTTGTCACTTATCAGATATTTCTGTTACGTCTTATACAGCTGCACATACGTACTTATATATTGGTACATATTAACATGGTAGTGTACATTATTCACGGCCCGTCAATAATTATTACATTTAACTAGGTTGGTTTTTTTCTGGATTTATTGCAGTATTATTGTCAATGACAATTATTTAATACAATGATTGAATGATTCAATAACGGTAATTTAAACTCAAAATAATAAAATGTCTTCTCTCGGTTTCTGAAAAATTCTGACATAATATTGTCACCACAATGTCAATACTACGCATCGCATTATTCGTATCGCATTGTGTGGTTATGTATATTATAATACGCATAAGGCATAATAACTGTACAATAATATAACCCTTCGTTAGTTTCCATTTATTTTTTATCATTATAATTATGAGTTATTGAATGCGTATTATTGTTATTTATATACGCTCGTGTATTCCAAAGATATGGAAAAACATCTATGCAACGTACTGGTAAAAAATAAATATTACGGTCAATAATATTAATTCATTCAATGGAACCTTTTTTTTAAAAAAAAAAATCCCATTTTCAAATCCTTTTCCACCATTAATGACGTTCGAGATGGTTAAGAGGAGGAGATAGCCCAAAGGTCTTTATTAATGGATATTTATTGCCAATTTAACAATCCAAATGTGATTCGATAAATCCGGTTGTATATATATTTATATTCACCACATTAAATGTATCGTCAATTCATTCGGCCATTTCTAATAGGTACGTATATTATTACACATATATATAACCGTACGTACTCGATTTGGCTTGATTATAAATCGGTCAAGGCGCTGTTGAAAATAAATCGATGTGACCTAAAAAATATACCTAAGGGTATGAAAACCAAACAAAAACGTATTCGTTTCGATTCAGCGGTGTACTTTGCTGTTTATGTATCTACGCATATTACAAATTAAAAACTAAATCGCACGATATATTGATTTTGAACACTGCGTTATTCCAGTCCGATCGATCAATTCGGAAATAACGACATTAATATAACGACAGTGGCGTAATTATAATTTTGATTTTTAGAAAATGGCTCAGTGACAAAGGTAAAATGTGAGTGGTAAAGTTTCTGAAAAAGAGTAGTATACGTGTAGTTGGCCCTCCAAAATAGATTTTTGCTCATAATTAATGATGTGCACCATGACCTTTATGACCTTAAAGCTCTAAAAAATGCATGCAAATATGGTCAAAAATATCAAAAAATAACCTAAAACAAATCTTTAAATGTGTTCATGACAATGTACATTATTATGAATATCGACGAATAAGTAATAACCATTAACCAATAATAATTTAATAACTTTTAGTTTTTACTGATTTTTTTTTCAAAAAATAACTTCTAAGTTATAATGTAGAAAAAGCCATTAGTAGAAAAAATACGTGAAAATTTAAAGATACCCAAAATAAAATTGAATAAAAAAGCTTCTATGTCAAAAGCCAAACGGATATATAATTTGATCTAGAATATGACTATAGAAGGGAAAAAAATATGTAAGAGTCATAAACATCTCCTAACCCTAATCACAATACATTGTATAGGTAGTGACATATTTGAAAATTCTAAAAACTAACTACCCAACAATCACTATACGCTTGCAATTTATTAACTCTTGAGATACCGATACAATTTTTTGAATCGATCGGATGGCGTCGGTGAGCGGGAGAAACTATTCACACGGACATGTGACGTTGTGTCAAATTACGTATTGTTGCTGCCACGTGGGGCTTACACCCCGATGATGTATAGGTAGTTCGTACATATACCACACTCGCTCCGTGTCATCTACTCAGACCGTATACCGTCGGATTGAGATAATGAAATTGCGCATTTCGAAAAAAACGTGTGCAGGAATTTAGTTTCGCCATATAATATAATATACTATACATTTATACTTAAACGACGTTATTCCCGGGACCAGCCCCAGTCGAGTTGTAGGGCACACGCCGTAACCAAATTTTCGAACAGTGCCATTATCTGAAAACGAAATTTCTCCATCTTTCTATAACACAATACACGGAGCGTTTCGCGTGCGCACTGCGCAGTATACATTGTATTATTAGATGATAAACGAAATATATTATACCCCCCGAGAAATGCGAAAAGGTCACGTTTTACGGCGTGCATGACCAAAAAACTAATCTGATAAATGTATTTGTAATTTCTACCACCATATACGTTGTGTGCATAATATTTTACGCTTTCCGTTTTAAAAGGACGCTCGCTGCGAACGTAACGATCGCAGTTCTCGATTTTCAGGGGTTTTTTTTTTTAACAGTGGGAATCGTTCAAGTCGTATACATTTTAATTAAAGCTAATCGTATAGGAAAATAAAAAATATAGCCGTAAATAAAGTTACGTAATACTATACAGTATACACACTTATCATATTACAATGTATTACCTACATACGACATAATATATTTATTAGATGTGATTTTTTTAACTTTTAACGATTCTCGGAAAAATTTGTATGATGTATTTTAGTTTTAATTTTTCTGAACCGGATTCGAACCGCGGCGAAAGAAATTATTTAATTTGTTGACCTAACCTAACCAGCTGTGTCTACTGTTTTAAAAGTTTCGAAATTTAATTTGTCTTAAACAGATATCTGTTTTAAGTTTTGCATATAACGTCATTAGACAATTAAAAAGTTGATCGTATAAAATTAAATTCCAACCATCGAAAAAAACAAAGTATGAAGAATTGAAGAATAAGTTATCTGTTTTCATAACCTATTAAGAAAGAATTTAATTATGTTGCAATTGAAATGCTAAGCGATTTTTAATTTTTTTATTTCTGTGCATAATATAGAGAACATAAAACTCAATATTATGTTTAAGATGTTTTAATTAAATACATCGATACTATAAAAAAATATATTTTATTATTAGTTTAATATAAACAGAAACTTAAATTAGTTATTAGTGCCAATGACGATGAACAACCAGTTCAAAAATAAATACTTACTAGTATTTTAAAGCTATTTAAACTTTGTTAAGTTTTCATTGTTTTCTAAATTCAATTAATTCAGATTTATTCAAATCAATTCAAATTATTGTTAATGTTAAAATAAGATAACGCTGTCAATTTTTAATGTTTTTTTTATTTTTACTGTAGAAACTATCTCAATCTCTTTGTCATAACTTTAATTAAAATACCACAATTGTTATGGTGTAGGACCTAATTTGCACGAAGATGCACGAGCAAAGCAATTTCGAATTTCGTCGACCAGTAAACATAAAATATAATGTAATTCAGTTAATAAACCCGTTTTTCCTATACAATCTAAATTATATACATACATATAAGTCGAGATTTAAGACTGCCCATTATTCCTTTTCACGAAACATATTTTTACTGTGTAGATTTTATAGAATTAATTTAAAAAAATAATAGTCATGATATACAAAAATGTTTATTTCACGAAAAATCATAAATTAATATTTAATAACATTGCTATGCCACATACACGATAAACTTTGTGAATATTATCGACAACACGAGCATGGTAAAATGGCAAAAAAATGACACTAATTACTATACATTTTTTTTATACTTGAAGCGAGGAGAGTGGTCCCAAAATGTTCCTTTGATCCGGACTTGCGTATAATGTACGATAATTAATAATATGTTATACTGTAATAAATCATGTAACACTCGTTCGATTTTGCATTGTCCTGTCCGTCGTCATATAATGATTTGCGGGAAACAAACAGCCACATATATATTATACACCATTATAGGTTAGATTATTAATATGTTATTATGCCGTCATCTGGCCGACGCGTAAACGTATTTTTATTTCGTGACCACGTCTTGACATATTTTTGCCAGGAGACGTCGTCTAAGTATAATAGCGCGTGCGGGGTATCATATTTTATTACAAAGACTTTTCGATTTCATGTTTCAGACCCTTGTCTCGTGCACTACTGTGGAAGAGGCGAAGAGTGTGCCGCCCTGGGCGGCGTTGCCCGGTGCATATGCGTGCGGAAATGCGGTCCGGCCAAGCGCAGGGTGTGTGGCACAGACGGACGGCTGTACGACAACAGATGTGAGCTGCACAGGTCCGGCTGTTTGTCCGGAGTCGACATAGAGATAGACCATTCGTTGAAGTGTTTCATACCTTCAGGTGAGTCAGTGTCCGTGGTAGGAGGCCGTTTATTATTTACCCTCACACTTGCAGTATAATGGCTTTACAAGTGCCGTATATTACATTTTGTATATAATATACTATTATATTGAAGACTCGTAGTTTTACTCGGTGTTGGGGGGAAAAAACTCTACACGTCCTCTATACGACTGGCCGATGATTAATGTTTATAAAGATGTCGCAGCATAAACCAACTCATTTAAGAAATTATATATCAATAAATTCACATTTTAATTGGATTTCGAACTAGTCAGTAGGTGCCATAGTGTTGTGATAATGCGCGCAGTGGTGGCGTAATTTGGGTGTAGCAAAAGTATTGTTTTAAATCACAAAAAATATTCAAGTTTCTAAGTTTTTTAATTTCAGTTATGCTATTTATCATTTTAGTATAATAGGTGCCCAATCTGTTAATTTACTTGTACTGTATCATGAAAGCTTAACCTGCTTAATATTATCAATTATACTCAGTTCAAATTACGTTTAGTTAGTTCAAAAATATTTCATTGACAATTTTTTAATTTAAAAATTACTACTTTACACACATTTTTATATCAGAGCACTGAGGCCATCAAAGGACAGAACTAATGGGAGGTTGAATATCTATTATATCATAAAAAAGTTTACAACACTAGAAATTTAAATTAAATTTATTACTGAATATTACTGCGTTACTGCGTATTACCGTTTGATGTTAAAATGAATAAAATTTGCCTATGAAAAATCAAACAAGTGCAGTTACTATTTACTCCATACTCCAAATTTAAAAGTTCAATCATTATCCGCTATTAACTGTGTTCAGCATTTTTTTTTTGCATTATAAGATACAAGTGGTTTAATTTTTTTAAACTAAACTTAATTATTCTTCTAGAAAATAATGTGCAGATTTCAAATATTAATCATATATAATATTATGATCTTTACAAAATATGTTATCGTCGGATAATTATTGAATATTTTATCGATGATTACACAAATAAATCATCGTGTGTTAGAACAACGTATTTATATAGTTTGGAGCATTTTTACAAAAAGTCAATGTGTTCCTAAAATTATAAAAATTAACTTAGAATACTAGTGTAGCCAGTAAAAAAAAAACGTTCAACATAAATCAATTCTTATATTTATATATGTTTTACCTATTACGTATGTATGTGATGTAATTGCGTTATGTCGTTCGCGATAAATCAATTATGGACCCAGTGGAAATGATGAGCGAATAAATCGTTTTAAATCCGATCACATACGCAGCAACTCGTAAGACTATACACGTTTTCGAATCGGCTATAATTCATACCATATATCGATTAGCATATCTTATATAAAATATATACGAGAAAAATCTTCCCCTACATTTCATATTTAATACTATATTTATACGAATTTTTGGTTTACAATGTCGTTGGTCAATTGTGTAAGACAATTTATGTTGTCTATAAATATATATCATGGATAATTTACCGAGATTGAAAATAATGATGTTTCGTGATGTCTGTACAGCTTCCAAGGCGAAGAATGTTCGAATCCTACCGAAAACCGCAGACAACGCCATTGAACCGGAAACCAAATCGAAAGAAGCGAAAACATGCGATTCCCCGCAATACGAAATTATGAAGGTACTGTTGTTGTAATAATTTAACGTATTAATATCATTTGAAATTTGCCCTCATACGAAAAACGCGGAGTACGGCTTTTAGGGTTTCGGGTAAAGGGGTTCCTAGGCTAAAATTTGGAATATATGTCTTAATTAACAATTTTCACCTCATCAGCGGTTAAAATTTCAAAATCATTTTTGACCCATTCTTAATTTTTTTGGTGGAAAATTATCTTTGAAAAAAAATTAATGTGTATTATATTCGGTAGCTGTAGGATGTAAATTCCAAACAAAAATATCAATTAAATGATCTAAAAATCTGGATTTTAGTTCTGAACACTCGATATGGTGTTTGTATTTGTTATTAAGTAAAACTAAAGGTCAGCCGTTGTTCCAAATAATTAGTCACTTAGTGATATCACTTATTTTTTTAATAACAACATATCCGTTGGCCGGCGCGGTGTATAGGCAATTTTGGTACGTCGGTGTGCAGCTGGTACCCGTAAACGAATTCGATATGGGACGGAAATTACGTGCCAACATGTGGCACCCGCAACTACAATAAAATGTTTAATAGCCGACGACGGTGAATTTGAGGATCTCAAATAGTGCTCGGCGACTGGTAGCACAGTTGTAGTCATGTGTCGTCGAACTTAATAATATATAAGCCCGTCCATTATCGAATTACGTATAAAATAATAATATAATCGGCACGTAGGTAATATTATAATTAGGTATAATTATTATAATAATATACATAGCATTGTTATGTCACAGTGTAATAATTAAAAATATGATACTCCGCACTAGGAACACGCCACTCCGACGTCCAACTAATCGTAATACAATTATAAATCGAGTACTCGTGCGGTGTTATTCCACTGTTTTTTTTCTTTTTTACGCGTGAAAATTGCCGAGGGTTGTAAACGTGCCCCCCCCCCCCCAAACAACACGAAACACCACTCTCTACACGACGCAGTCACGCAGACCCGCGGAACGTATTCCGCGGAGAAGTATGATTAAATTATTATTTTACACGGGGACTGATTTCAGATTTGTATGCGAAATCGGAGGGAACAAGGTTCGGTCGTCGTATTCCCGTCGCGCGCAAAATATCGTGTCGTCCGCTGCGGCGTCATTGTGCGACGGTGTGGTTGTGCAGCTATTTTGGCAAACGTCCCGTTCGTTCTCGCTCGCGATATATTATTATTATCATCGCGGCGTACATATATGTATACATATAATCCGGATATGATAATAAACACGCTGGCGAAACGTATTTGTCGTCGGAATTGATAACGGTCGTCGTCGCTCGCACACATATTGTATTATCATCATGGCAAACGCTTTCCAGTCGTGTACATGTGGCGTGGTTTTTGGCTTGCGCTGAAAACGACGTATGTTTGCGCGAACCGCTTTATATTGTTCCGTCCCCGTTGCCGATGCCCGTCCCGCGCACGAATAACGATTTATTTTTCACTCCGATAAATAATATTGTCGTTATTTCATCGCGTGTATTGGAAATAATATGATTGTAAGTCTTGATACGTTTTGATTTCGACACACGCCGAGTGCAATAACCCGTGTAACCGTGTATTGCTTCCCGTGTAACTGTCAAGGGGACGCCGCTGCAGTTGCGGTATACACAGGACGGTTAACCAAACACGATCTCTCATTACCTCTTTTTTTTTATTTCATTTAATAATTAATTAGTTGGTTTTAATGGAATTCGTACACGTACTTGAAGACCACATTTTCGAATACTCGAGACTTTTTCTTGTCTTGCGGCGATACAATTTCAACTATTTTTTTATATTATGAGAACCTTGTCAAACACATAATATCTAAATCAAAATTCGTACATGTGGTTTTTGAGTTATCAGTCATTGTGTAGGTTCTAAAGGCAATGTATGTTCACGTATATAGGGTTGTATAAAATACAGAGGCTATGATGATTTGAAAATTATATAGTCTTTAATATTATTTATTAACATGAACATTTTGTAGTTGATAAAATTGTCCAAGAATAACAAATGCTAGGATTCAATAATACCTATTTTATTATTGTTATTTAATATTACTTTGAAATTATTATTTGTTGTTCATGTGCACTATGTGTAAATATTACTTGAGATAATTATTGTTTTCTCTACTATTGCCTCGTATACTGGATAATAAAACTGAGCATTTTTCACTATTTATTTCAAGTTGTAAACGGTAATTTTATTTTTTAAGTTATGGTTCATTAATAGTTTTGAAGACCCTCCCCCCACTTTTAGCTTACTTAAAGTTAAGGGTAATCAGTTCATGATTTTTAAAATTTTTTTTTTGTACTTTAATAGTACTTATAACTTATAAGTTATAACTTAAGTTGAGCTGAATAAATAAATTAAATATTACCTTTATAATTATTTATACTTTAAATTTATGAAATCTATTTTTTATTTTTGTTATCCGTAATTACTCATACACGCATACATAGAATAACTCAGAAACTATTCGCTAAAATTTTGATTTTGATAAATGTTTTTAAAACAAAATATTATCTACTGAATAATTCTAAGTAAAAAAAGAATTCTTATTTGAAAAATATTAGTTTATATCGCCACAGGACATTTGATTAGGTAAAATTGAAACTTAAATGGTAAACAAAAATCTCAACTATTCGAAATTATGATTTTTATGTATATGTAAAAAGAACAAAAACTCTATTTTAAATAACTGTATGATTAAAGAAAAATTATGGGTATTTATTTTCGTGAATCATTATATTAGATAAGTAGGTTGTTAGTTTTTGGTTCGATATATTCATTTTAAGTTAAGTTAGAAGGAGTAAAATATTCGATTTATATATATATATTGAAAAAATAACAGGTACAATTTACTTTAACTTTTAATTGAATATCCGATTTGCTATAACACGATAACTATAATATGGTGAAACTGTAAACAGGAACACGAGGTCTGTTGAATTGAAAGTAAATATGTAGCTACAGTATGTGTTGCGTTTGTAATGAGACGGAAACATCGAGATAATATAGTATATGCTGGTGTAACACCATCTCATAAGTGCAGAATAGAAATCCGTTTACTCTTCATTATTATTTTATTTCATAATACTATCTATTTTTAGTGCTTTTCAGATCGACTAAAACGTGTAAAATGTTTTCGATTTAATATGTAAATTGAAATGCTAAGTTGAAGTATAAAATATGCATTAAATATGTGCTGTTGGGAAGAATATGACATAATTATTACTTTCGTATGAACTATAGTGGAATAATGTCGGTTAATTTTATGAGTCTGCAGTTCGTATAGAACCTTCATACGTTTTTGTTTATAAATATTCAATCATTAGTTTACAGTAATCATTACGCATTTACGCCGGCGGTGTTTTTTTTTTATAATTATATTATATTATGTGAACCGTCGACGACACGATACTGTTAAGTCGCGATCAAATAATATCTCTGAATCACTTGCAAAATAATGTACGCCTCTGAAATTTACATAACTTAATCGGAGAATCGCTCCAAATATATTATGATAATAATATAAAATATCGTAAAATATATTACATCCGCGTTCTGATTGTTATTCCGGTCGATCGTGGGCATACTATGGCTCTAAAGGTTATTGGGTTTCTTTGTGTTTACTTAACCATTACCATAAATATTTACCAACCCACAACCGCTATAAGACAATAACGATAATAATAATAATAATTATTATTTTAAAAGTGAGTGGCGGGTTTGATGGTTCTCATCCACCGTGAACCGACCCCCCCCCCCCATATTCATGCATGAAATGATATAATATGTATACTGTGGCTGTATATTACAATATATATTTCATAATGGAAGTTCAATAAGTCGAGCACGAGCCCGCGTACTTATAATATTATATTTGCTATATTGTGTCTTACGAATGACAAACGTTTGAGGTTGTGTAGGTTATTTTGCGGACCGTAAATACAATTTAAATCGCACACCACCCCATCCCCTTGGATGCGATCCTTTCGATGATACTAAATAATACACGATATTATCGCGCATAAGTTGTGTCGGCCCTTAACAATTAGACGTTTTCAGCCGTATATGCGAATTACGAACCCAAAACGGTATCGCGCGGCGGCCCCACCGAGAGACCGCCCTCGATGATATGGCCGCGGTAATATATGTTTTTTCTACCACTCACGCCCGCCGCCGTTGTGGTTTTTCGACGCAAAACGCATAAAATGGTAATAAATGTTTCTTGTTCAATTAAAAGAGGGTGCAACCACAGGAATTAATGCTCGCGGTCAGGATTTATCGTACTTTTGGGAACGTGTATCCCTCTTTGGCCGCGTATAAATTATGTTTACAAAAAGCTCTTTCCTCCTATATACAGCCGGCTCAGCCTCTGGGCGGCCTATCCGTATACACACAGACAGCTACTTGGGTCGGATGGTGTATAATAAGACGCGTCTTATGATAATAACGAGAGAATACCACCGAAATGAAAACAGCCATCGTGCCACCGTAATAAAGGTGTTTTTTCGTTGTTATTGTTTTTTTTTTCATTTTCCCCGTTCCCCCACCATGTATAGCCCACAAACCATGCAATGATTACAATTTATTCATCCACGAGAATAAAGGAAATAATACCACGTGTATTTCGTTACCATTATCTTTCGCAGGATAATTTGTTGCTGATAAATCACGCCAAACTCATGTATCAAAAAAGTTGGAACGGTGGCAAGGAGTATATGGTCAGTGCGTTGTTCCGTTATTTGGATTTGGACGGCGATGGATTTTTGCAACGCGAAGAACTACAAAAGGTATATATTATTGTTTCGTCCGTTTTTGTTTAGTTAACTGTCTTTTTTATTCAATAAACTTTGTTCAGACGTCTCGGTAAAACAACATTTAAATAACTTGATGTCGTTGACCGTTGTTAACTGTTTTTCGTAGATTAATTAGTGGCTTCAAAGTTATTCTAACTTCTATAAATTACAATTTATTCTTTTATATTATACTAATGCCGTTGTGAATATTATATTGTATGGGGTTCCCTCTAAACTTGCACTGTAAATTATAATTATAATACCCATAATCTATACAGCATTCATTATAACATAAAAAGAAGCCTTTCGTATATTTAATTTTAAAATTAATTCGTTCTTATTTAGAATTCGATATTTAATAGACTTAAAATACATTAAAGTAACACGCATATTATACAACAAATTACGAACTTATTTCGGTTGAATATAATATATGCTATACAGACTGTATCGTTAACGTTGTAAAGGATTTCAAATCTCTCTTTAAGAAAGTCTTTTTTCACAAATGTGTACTACCACATAAATGTCTTGCATTATTGATCAAAGAAATATCAATATAATAGCATTTTTTATTCATATATATATATATATATATATTATGCGCATATGATGTAATATTATATGTTCGAGCTTAGATTAAAAAAGTCGATTATTTCCTATAAAGCGTGTGGGTATACCGACAAATGTATCGACAAATTTGGAATATAATTTTCCAAGAATGATATCTCTCTTCTTTGAACCCATAATATGTTTCATCGTTTCATAAATTTACGCAATATACATGTGCACTTATTAATTTTGTAAGATCGGTACATAATATGTGAAACGTTGTTTTAACCGTTGTAAACTAAACTCTAAGTATAATATTATGTGCTTATTATTTCAAGAAAAATGTACATTTATTTCTTTTTGAAAACGTTAACTATATTATAAAGGTAGTATGTGTTGTTTTATAATAATTAAGTAAACAAAAATATTTACATAATGAGTGCTAAAGTTCAAACAATAATTTTAATTTAAAATGTTTAACAGCTATAATCGTAAAATACACCATGCACATAGTTCTATTTACCTTTTATTGTGAACAAAAAACTTTTTTAATCCAAGCAACGAAAATATAAATTATTTTTCCAAGTTTATACAAATGCCGCACGTGTGATATAATTATTCAGTAAAAAAAAAAAAAGTTAAGTATAAAAAAATATATATTTTACTAATTGAACGTGTTTCAGATAACTAAACAGGATAAGCTCGATGATATATCCGACGTTTGTGTTATGTCAGACATGATTAGCTTTGAAGACATGGATAAAGATGGACGTCTAGGTTTGAACGAATTCTACGCAGCTTTCAGTAAACTATACAGTAAGTGTGTATAGGTTAGGTTACTACTTATATACCTAGAGTAAATGGTTCAAAGTAAATTCTAAAATAAGATGTTAAGGTATACACAGGGATTTAATTTGCTCACGCTGCGCCAAATCCTGTTCACGTCCTACATAATAAATATAACATATACCCATGTATCACTTTGATCTATATCCTTACAGTGTCCTGTAGCACTCTAATGGTGCCTCATCTCGTATATATAGTGCACATAAGTATATCATAATAGACTCTTTAGATTTCCATTATTTATTACCTATGCGTATTTTTTTACACCGAACGTTATTATAATAGGCTTGTCGGTGGTCACTCTGGAGAAAGCGCTCGAGATCAATAGAATATCCGCAAAGGTCGGTGACAACGTGGAAATCCGATGTGACGTAAGCGGCAATCCGCCTCCTCCAATCGTTTGGAAACGATATTCCGCCGATCTAACGACCCTTGGCGACGAGGACGTGAGGGTTTTCAGCGACGGATCGCTGTACCTCACCAAAATACAATTGGTCCACGCGGGGAATTACACGTGCAGAGCTCTGAGAAACTCGGAGGTGACCCAGACGCACGTGTTGACTGTTCACAGTACGTTCAATAATAACTCAATGCATGATAATAATATATTATATGTAATAATAATTGTCGAATGTTGCCTTTTTTAATTCGATTTTTGTGGTGTTTAAGCTTTGCCCGAAGTTAAAGTCACGCCTAGAATTCAATCTCGAAGACCAGGAGAAAAGACTTCCATGTTTTGTCACGTAATTGGAGAACCTTTCCCCGAGGTACATATAATATGTATATATATATACATAATTATATATCGCATTCAGCATATTATATTTATATATACATTTATAAGTACAGCATATCCAAGGTTTATGGGTATCTCCGGGTAGAAAATATATTTATTAAAAATTTAATTAAGTTATTTCAATGCCTATAGTAAGTAGTTTAATTTTTTAGATTTCCAAAATAACTTTTTTTTCAAATCGTGGTTTTTAAACGCATTTAATAAAACGGATGTTAAAAATATTTATCAAGTTAGAGCACGATAAGATGGTAAAAAATGATTAATCTTAAAACGTCAATTCGTATAATAAAATCTTAAAAAAAATTAACTTGTTTTCAACTACACTGAAAACTCCAGGACGATTTATTTTTACGGAACATATCGTAAAAAATTCTTATTACCTGTTTAAGAAACTTACTTAGGCTAGATTTTAATAATTTGTCTTAAACGACTGAAAACCCGCTATTAATTATACTGATTTACTGAATGGAAACACTTAAAGGATGAAACGAGACGTTTAGGTCATTCTGTATTTCTGAGCATATTATAATCGTGAATTTGAGTACTTATTGGATTAAATGAATGCTTTTGTACCCATATAGGTGGTTTGGCTGAAAAACGAAGAGCGTCTAAAGTTGGACATGATGCAAAAGTACAGAGTGGTCGGCAACGGAACCGAACTGAGTATTAATAATATCGATTACGCTGACACCGGAGCTTACATGTGCCAGGCATCGAACACCGGTGGAGTCACCAGAGACATATCGTCATTAATCGTTCAAGAAATTTTGACGCCTAGTGAGTATGGTGCGGTCGGATCTAAATCGAACGAAATATATCAAATATTTTGTGCTAATAACAAAAATTTCAATAATTATATAATAATGCATCATATTAATATTATTCTCGTCGCGTTTTTACAGCCGCGCCGAAAGAAGAACGCCGGTTTTTCGCTTTTCACGACTGGGGAGTGTCTGTTTACGAGCCCACCGCTTGCCGGCTCTACCATCAAATCCAGTCCACGGACATCATACCCGGAACTCAGGTATATATTATTTGCATGTTCGGTAGGTACGGTGTTATTGATGCCATAATGTCGGACAGTGTTTGCCGATCGCCATTATACGAGTAAATCGTCTGTATATGCATATCTCGATGTAATCGTCGTACCCCTTGTCATCGTGCTTACGTGTGTAATATAATATATAGGAATACGTTTGCGGAGACAAAGGTGTCAATTGCAGCTGGGGTCAGGCTATCAACGTGGCCAACCGTTACGTTTACGTGTCGCAGCCGCTCAAAGACAGAGTGTTGGTCATCAGCAAGATTCAGATGGTCGTCGTCGACGTGAGTGCACCTATATTATACGACACGATACAGCTTTGTATATAGGATATGCTATTTATTCGTATTTATATACAATATTAATGTGTGGAGAGTACGGTAAAAAAAGCATTTACGAGATATTGTACTTCATATTATACTTGTATCGGGTAACAAGTACTACAGAGTACAGACACTTATATGTTATAAATTATGAAGTGTTTATCAGGTTTTTAATATAATAAATGCAGTAGGTCATAATATGATCAGCTAATGATACTAATAATTGGATTATCATTATTTAAATTTATTCTGACGATAGCTAGTATACTTACACCACGTATACTTGTACCGATTTTAATTAAGTGGGAGCCACACCCACATGCGTTCTATCTGTCTTACAGACGCACAACATAGCAAATTGTACGTTCTAAATAATTTATTTATCTCAGGTATGTTTAATACAAGACCGAATTGATCAATTATCAAAATTCAAATTTAGAATTAAGAATATTATGTACTGAAGTACTGAACCTCATAGGTGTTTTAGTTTTTTTTTTTTTCTAAACAAGTTATGTGTATTTTAAAATGCACAAACAATTTTAAATTTTAAAATACTCATAGTTTGTTTTAAATTTATAGATAAAAAACCTACGATGTTCACTAGATAATATTATTACTCTTACATTTGATAATAGGTCATCAATTCGCTCCAATATTAATCATTCAGAACTTTCAATTTGCCATGTACGCTTTTGTAAGGACGGGGCCAGCGAGTGCGAGAGTAGCGTCCTCTTAACTATTAAATTGTGTCGTAATATAACTAAATAGTAAATACGAATGGGAATAAACGCAGGACAACCTAAGTCTAACTTGTCAGGAGCTCACAATTATTATCAGAATTATTTTAAATGCAAAATATCTTTTTCAAGTGAATGCCTACCCAATTGCTTTACAATATTATTATAATATACTAGCTGCCTGATCTTCCTCCGGGAGAAATTATTTTTTTAAAATTTAATTTAAAAACATAAGACTATTTTTGGCTACACAAATAATACAATGATTATAAAATAAAAAAAAGAAACAGACATCGTTATCGGCGCATATATGAAAATAATTGGTAATTAGTTAATTATTATTATTATTATTATTATAATGAGGGTTCAAAACCGATTTCCTTCGTCTCCAAAATCAGTTAGATTCTTATATATATAGATTACCTTATTCATATAATAGGTACATTTATTTTATCTTATTGTGTTTTGATGTATATCTGTATACCTATACCTTAATTATTACCTATATATAGATTTTGGAATGAACGGTGAGATAATAGTTCGTTTATTCGTTATTATAACACATAGGTCGTAATCACGGACAAATATCCAGTGGCTCTGCACTACGTGGCACATCTGGATCAAGTGTGGGTGTTGAATTGGAGGAGCGTGTACGACGACGGCGTGAAGACGATTCAGGTGATTAGGGATGCGTCTCAAAAGCGAAAACACCACACCGTCCACCCAGAACCGATAGACGGGCAATTCGATTTGGTCAGAGATTTGTTCATGCCCACAGCACAGGTACGTGTGAGCAACGTTTTAATATTACTATATTATAATATATAAATATGCAACTCTGACGGACGGTTTTATTGATATCCCGAAATTTCGCAGGACTTGAGCCACTGGTTCAAGTACGGTTATGTGAGCCACGCCAACCAAAGAGGACTTTACAAACTGGATTTGGCCAACATGCGGTACATTAGAAGTATAGACCTGTCACCGTACAACTGCGTGCCCCGCACCCTGCAATTTTCGTCCTTGTGTAAGTATGCTGCAATGGGTATAAATGATCGATATTTTAGTGTTGTCTAACCTAACCTAACCTTTGATCGGACACGAAAATATTATATTATCAACATCTCATTTACCGATGGCTAACTATAAACACAAACACACATATTGTTGTACGCAGACGGTTTTGTCATCATCGAATGCGAAGAACCGGGAACTGGACACGCAACGGGTCAGGTAATCTTAGATTATTTGACCGACACAGTGGTCAACAAGAAGGCCACGGTCAGAGGAAGTCCTTTGGTTTCACCAGACAGCAGAGTCGTTGTGTCCATCGACAAGGCCGCCGACGGTGTGACCTTGGTTGTCCAACAAGTTTTAGGTAGGTTTTATCAGTGACGAACCGTATACCCGGTATACATAATAATATTATGGTATACCAAATTGTTTATTTAAATGTAATTTAATCAATCAATATAGAATCTGGCCTCAAATTTTCATTCGACGTCAAAACCACTCTAATGATTAGTGACATAGCGTTCTATCCTTCTCGAACCACACACGGGTATGATTTGTACGCCAGCGCCGCTGACAAAGAAGATATATTGTTTCTGAATCTATCCAACGGTAAGCGTTTTGAAATATCAACTATGACAAATCCCTGTTGTTAAACTAATTTAAATATGAATTATTTATTTTAAAGTGTAGGTGGGTATAAAATCTAATTTTAGACATCATAAAAAGTAAAAACACATAACGTTTAAAAACAGAAAACAATTTTCAAATAATTTTTAATAAAATATAATATCTTAGTAGTTTTAATTATTCTCTTCGTAAAATCTATTACGAGAAAACTTTTTATACAACTTCCAAGTACCTCAGCCGATTAAAATTAGCGATGATTCAAATAATGTTCTATAGTTGAATTTTTTGTGTGGCGGTTATTATTTATTAATAGTATTCTCGATGTGTTGTGTTAGTTTTACACGTCGTAATATTACGATATGTAACATTTATTAATAACTTCATTCACGTAACTGGCTTTCGGTCAAAAATAGCTTTTCACTCATTATTTTCCGTGTTTATCGTAGTGGGCGACTTTTAAAATAATAACCGCAGCGATCAATATACAATGAAAAACTTCAACGCCGATTTAATTTGGCACAATAAATGCTTGAAGAGTATTGAAACTGTAATTTATTATAGTTGATCAGTGTGATGTCGCTCGGCACATAGTAGTCACAGTAACAGCGTTTGTGGCAACCGAAATCATAAAATAATTATTGGGAGTTTACTACGACTAATACTGATTTTCGTATGGCGAATTATGGATACGTCCATTGATTATAACCCAAACGGTTTTAATTCTATATAATACTCATACGTACGTCGAACTGCGAATAAATGTCATTATACTGATTAATGAAGCCTTGGATTTTCATACATTATATTATACGATTATTAAATTAGGCCACAAAAGTACGACCCGGAGCTTACATTTAACGAGGACCACTAACGTTTAATTGTTGTAATCCACGACCTTTATTTAAGTGAATTGAGGACCTAATCGTTATTTGAAAAAAAATGGATTATCCAATTATATAAATTATTTAAATGTGGTCGTCATGGACGTATTGCGAGGCTTATAAACAATAATGATTGTACATTTTATTACCACAACATTCGGAAAAATAAATATTATATATATATTTTAACTATTTTATAATTATAATACTGCAGTGTGTATCGCAGTATAGTCGAGACAGTATATTGACCAAAAGCCAGCTTTTAATAAAATCTCGTAAGTCGAGCTCCGCTCAGAATCGGTTTTAGTCCATGATTTATCGCTGCTTTCTTGTTTAATGACACCGACCCCAGTGGTAACCCACAACCCATGCAACTATCAGACCTTGCTTTTTTCTACTCATGAAACATGATCTTTATAAAGACATTATGTCGACCGTTGTCCAAACTAGAAATAAAAATTTTATATCAGAACGTATAATTTAATATTTTAATATATAATTATGTTTTGTATTATATTATGCTCAGATAGTATTTCTGCATAAAACGTATTAAGTGATTCATTTTTATAATATACATGTCATCAAGTGTACCTATATGTATAATTTATTATACCGTCAGGCGGACTTTGGGGTGGTGGGCATAGAACACTATCATTCTCCAGCATATGAATTACCCTTCCAATCAGATTTCAGTCGGACAATTTATTTTCAAGTATAAGCGCACTTTATCAGTAGAAATCTTCTTATATAATCAAAAAAAAAGGTAAAAATCAGTCAGTATGTACATTATTATAAAACATAACATAATATTATATAGGGTTCGTAAATCGAAATAGGAGACTTAAGCCCGGTTAAAAAGCATCAACCCTAGTCCATCTATATGTAGTCGTGGAATACTTATACCACGATCATCGCGCGAATCTAACATAATAATGTATAATATGATATGTACCGAAATGCAATTTATCGGTGTAACGTCGGTTTTTTGATTTTGTCTGACCCCGCAGGTAAAGTGGAAATGATCACCGGCGTGGGCAAGGCCATGCTTCAGTCGCTGACGCAATGGGGTAACCCTAACCGTCCAATAGCCGCTTCCGGTATCTTCGGTCACTACATGGTCACGCCGGCCGACGAAGCTCTGTTCGTGATCAACGGCGAGACCCGGACGGTGAACTGCGAGATCGGCGGTTTGGTGCATCCCAGACTGGTCACGTGGGTCACCATGCAGTTGCAGTGAACACAGACAGAAGACAGAACTCAAAGTTGAAAAAAAAAATCGCGTTGTTATTGATTAATTATTATTATTATTATTACTATTGTTGATGCCGTCATTATCTCATTATTTCTTATTTTCTCGCTAGGTATGATAATTATTGTACCATCATACCGTCGAGTTGCTTATTATAAACATATTTTTCGTTTCGTTTGTCATGACTTACATACTTCACACATTATAATATAGTGGTTTAGGCATACGTTAAGTTTCAATATCTCAATCGCAATCTCATGAAAATTTATCGTAACATAAAATAAAGCAACGATAATAATATGATAATATACCTAATATATAGTGCAATGAACCCCCGAGCGCGGCTGCAGTCGACTATCGTTCGAACACTTTTCACGTTATTCGGACATCATCATAATAATAATATGCATAATATTATAATAAGCTTATTTTATTTTTTCGTGGTTTTTCGTAATATTTATATCTAGCCAATGAGTCAAAGTTCGCAACTCAGTCGTTTTTTTGTTTTCCAAACTTTAATAAAACTGACGGGTTTCATCGTTTCAGTCATTTTCCTGACTCCGAGCCAAATAATTTATTATTTTATATTATTACTAAGTCGTCGTCTTCGTCTCCGTCGTTTTCGAGATTGTCCATAGCCTAGACGATGATGCACACGTATTGATAATGATGTGACTATAATATTATATTACAAGTAGGTGTAAATAGAGATCGTGTGATGGTAAAATTTCACTATGCGCACCAATAACGGATACGGTTAGGTTATTATTCTCTGAGCGTATATGGCCACATTATCGGTGATGATATCATTACTATAAAAATAATATATAATATATATACTCGTTTATATTCGTTCGACTCGCGATATATTCCTCTATAGGGCGTAGTTTGAGGCACGATACGAGACGACGTTTTTAAAAATCAAAATATAATATATATACGTAGAAACCATCGAAAAATGTGCGACGTTTCAGATCAACGACCGACGCTTCAGTACATATAGATAACAATAATATTATGTTTTCGTTTAGTATATTATAATAATATACGCGTATGATATTAGTTTGTCGAGAGTGGATTTATAATAATATTATTCATTTGACACAAAATGCGGACGTTTTTCTTTCCACATTTACAATTGTCCAATTAAAATATCGAATAATTTTAATAACATAAATTATATCAATATGAACACGAATACACGATATTATAATATTATACAGACGGAGCTATACTCATTAGCTATTTGTAAAATAATATCTCGGGCGGGTGTGGCAACACAATTAAAATACGTCGATTGTGGACGGTAAGCGTCGTCGTACAGTGGGTCTGTGTGCACAAGATTATCCGTCCGATTTTCGTAGTTTCTTTTCAATCGTTTGATCCGTTTACCGCTGTGATCCGTCTCGAAAAAAATTGCATCGTCGACAACCGACGGCGACGTCTGAATAAAAAAAAAATATGAATAAATAAATATTGTAATAATTTTAGTGTTTTACGTGTGTTGTATAATATTATGATTATAATATGTAATGGTACCCAATATGGCGTCATCGTTTATATAGGAGAAAAGTACTATAATTAATATAATATATAATATACCTACTTAGACGTAATATTATATTATATAGTAATAATATATTATAAATAATAATATACAAGGTGATTCTTTAGAATGTAAGCACTTTTTTCCTAGAAAATTATCGACATTTTTGGAAATATTGATTTTACATAAAATTGTAAGTTATTTAATAACTATATTTTGTAAAGGAAAATTAAATCATTAAGTTTTTACACTTTTGAATGGCAGCAATACATTTATACCTAATTTACATTTTCGTATACTGAGGCAAAACACTTTTCTTAGAATTTAAATAATACATTAATATTGATTTTTGAACGAGTATAGTTAATATTCATTTTACTTATAAGTTATAAGTATTTAGTTCTGGTGAGCAAAGTGGAGCGTGACACAGGGGTACGCCACAAAGTTAGTCCTTTGTACACTATCCTCTCATTTATATATTGGTATAATCCATAACAAATAAATTTGATGACGTAATATTAAAAATTAAAATAATATAGGTACATGGGATGCATGTCAGAGAAATACAAATGACCACAACGAGTGGCACGTATGATAAAGGTAATATTGCTTAAATAAATTGTTTGTCACGTCATTAAATACCTATTAAGTTATAACTAATTAACTTCTCGTTCAAAATTAGATTTTTAAAATACATTATTGAAATCTAAAAACTTATAGTTTAAAACTGATAGTGATAACAAAAATAAATTCTTTTCCAAAAATGTTTTTGAAATTATGGAAAAAAAAGATTCCAAAAACAATAGTTTGGGAAATTTGGTGTTATAAAGAAACACCTTGTATACATGAACATCGAAACGCCCTGCAATCGGGATTTTTACGTGTATAATAATAATAATATATAAAATATGTGATTTGCGGAGTTAGCCGAAACAACCGTTCGCACATCGGTAAAATATTTTGTAAATAATACAATAATTATAACTGCATGACGAATATAAAAAAAATATTTATAGTGTTAGACGAGTTATAAAGTTATTAATTATTCTTATTATTATTGTACACACTAAGAAATAGTGAAAATCATCGTGTACACATTAATAATTAGTTGTGTTTGTTTGTGGATTTTTTTTATACATAATATAACGTATTATAATAGTGTGGGCTTATTTTTTATCAATATATATATATATATTTACATATATATACTATAAATGTGTATATGATAATATATAGTGTAATGATATTTATTACTGAATAAAACAAAAACAAAAAAAAAATCACCCAAGTATAATAATTTAATTATGTATGCCATCCGATTATATTACGCTGTCTGTTCATACGCTTCCTATATGGTTAATAGCATTATTGTTCGTTTTTATATTATTTATTAAAGACTTCAATCGATCGTTTTTACGTATGCTTCTAATATATGCCGCCAGCCGACTCAGCTGAGTGTCCGTTTGTATCGTTTATAATATATTAATAATTTATCCTAATATTATACGCACATAATGATATTATATATTGTGGGGCACAGTACTACGTAAATACTGATAATTAAATTCTCGTTATGGACTGCTGCAGAGCTACAACAATATTATTATTATAATCTATACCACGAGTACTGTGCCGAATGGCGGCGGCAAGCATATCATTATTTAGGTACCCAATATTATTATTATACCATCCTATGTTATCCAGCTAAACAGTGTTGTCAGTAGCGTAAAAAAACAGAGCGCAGACCAGCCGACCGACCGATTCGACCGAACATGACTATTATAGTTTAAAATTATTATTATTATTATTATTATTTCAGTATTTGAATATATATATATTCACCAATATGGTATGCGAACAACACAATAAATATCTGGCACCGATTTACATACACAAATCATGTATTATTTTAAAAACGTTGATTGCTGGAACGCGTCGGAAAACTCGAAGAAAACGCAATCGGGTCGGTATCAATAACGAGTATGTAAAAAACGATCGTGGTGGCTACTGAAAGTTCAAAGTTACGTAATTGATTAAATAATAATAACATTATTATTACTGTTTTGTCAGGTGCAAAAGAGGAAAAAACAGCTTGCCTATATTATAATGACGAGTCCCATTGTACCTAGAGATTGGAGGGATGTACCTACCTATGTATAATGTATATATATAGCCATACACATTGAGCAAACCTATAAATTTGGGCACATTAATGAAGCAACAATAGAGAAAGAGATTATGCAGATATTTAGTGAAACATCAAAAGGATGTAATCCTTCTAAAATGCGCGTGTTCCTGCACCGCCGTGTTTTGTAAAGGTCCGTCTTCAACATTTATATATACACATAACACATAGACATTATAATATATTATATTGTCTGTATAATATTGTATTATTATGTATAGCATGCTGGCGCGAACATTAATTATATTATTAGGTATATAGTGATATAATGACTTAATAATTATCAACTATACACCGTTATAATATATGGGTGGGTGGGTGGTAGTATCATATTTAATTATCACCATATCTGTTTATAATCTCGTGCGTTCAAATGTTAACTAACCATATTTAAAATTAATGAAGGCAATACTATAGATTATAATAATTATTATTATTGTTATTATTATGAGATAGATGCCTATGCGGCTATGCGTTTCCGCGTATAAATTTTTGTATTGAACAAGTATTATGGGTTGTGAACATAATTATACTATTATTATGTATTGATTTATTTAACCATATTATAAGTGTTTGCTCCGTTTGTGCAATTTATAGAAAGGTATTTTCGAAATTTTTGAAATTTTTGAAATTTTTATTTTTATGTTTTTGTGATTACATTTTTGCTTTTGGAAAAAAGCTTGAACATATTATTTTAACACACAATTCCTCATACGTTTATTTACTGAGAATTAAGAAAAACATTTAAAACGTTAAGTAACAACAATCTTTATGACTTTATGAGCGATTGTAATTCAAATTTCAATGATATTTTTTGATATTAAACGTATACCTAAAAATGTTATTTATTTATTTTTTATTAATTTATTAATTTTACTTAAAAATTTATATTTAATGTAAAGATTATTTCTTGGTTCTTTATTCATTGATCAAAAATATTTATTATAATCTTTTAAATATCTATTTAATATTTAATTTTAAATAATTATGGGATTTATTATTTTAAGTCATAACTTATAAGCCCGCCGCTTGCTTTTTTTAAAGAAAATATAAAATGTTAGCGTGACAAGATGATATTATTATCTTGATAGTATAAATGAGTGCTTTAATTAGGAATTTGTACAAAAGTATTTGAATAAAAGTTTCCAAATATTTAGTGAAATTAATGAGCATTATTTTAGTTCAATGGTTCACAACCTTTTGAGTTCTATAGTTCTATACTTCTATACCCCCTTGGCCCTTTCATACTAGGTCATATGAGGTCACGCCTCCTCATTACTATAAGATTGAAGTAGGTATGTTTGATACAGGACATATGAGACACCATGCCCAATTGGCACTTTTGATTTTCAATATTATTACAGTTCATAGTCTTATACTTGAAAATTAAGTAGTTTTATATTAGTGAATCGTTCAAACTGAAAAGTAATACATAAACACAGTGATCTTGGGTGGTCGATACATCACGGCTAATAATATATTACATATATGTACAAATTATACAATGTGTCAAAAGTTTTGAAATTACATTAATAATAATAATAATAATAATAATAATAATAATTTGTATTATAACTAAATTAATAATTTTCAATGATAGGTACATAAATCGAAAAATTTGGCTAATTTCAATGGTAATCTTAGGAGGCATTTGTGGAAAAAATTTAAGTTAAAGGTAAAAAAAAACACATACATGTCCAGCTACCGGAGGAAAACTGTATGAGTAAATTATTTAATACGATTATCGTTTAAGATGCACATTTTTGATACATTAAATTATCAAATCATTAAACATCTCCCTTTTTTGTTTTAGGATATGTCATCTTTAATAAAAAAAGTCAAACATTTCTTCCATGGCAGTTATTCAATGATGAATATAAGGAGAAAAAAAATTCATACCCAATATAATACTTAGCTAAGTTCCACTGCAAAGGTAATGGGCGCATGTAAATTCCGCCCAAAAATGGTAAATTCCGCCCAAAATGAACTACAGGTAAAGAAACAAGGTTAGGTTAAAATATTTCGAAAAAACAATACAAGTAACATAAAATCTAAGTTTATTGATTTAAATTTAAATTATGGCATTGTACATTGGGATTCAAAGATTCTACCTACTTTAGTTGGAAAAGATAAGTGTGATAGACTTCCCGTTGTTATAACGGCTCTAAAAACTGAACAGCTTTTGGGAGTTCCTCACCTTTCAAGGGGCACAGGCAATGAAATATGTTCGGCCGTATATGATGAATTAGAAAACTGGGGATTACTAGAAAAAAATACAAGGATTTGTGTTTGATACAACAGCTTCTAATTCTGGTAGATTAAGTGGTGCTTGCGTTCTATTAGAGCAAAAATTAGGAAGAAACGTATTATTTTTAGCTTGTCGGCATCATATTTTCGAAATAATATTACAAGCAGTATTTATTGAAGCTAAATTTGCACCATCATCGGGCCCAGATATACCACTTTTTAAGAGATTCATTGATAATTGGAAAAATATTAATAAAAACGAATACTCTGTGTGGACAGATGATTCGATGACTTTCGATATATTAAATAACGTTCGCGATGAAGTATTAGATTTTGCAGAAAAAAGACTTCAAGATTGTTTCCCTCGTGATGACTATAAAGAGTTTTTGCAGCTCATTGTAATATTTCTAGGAGGAAAACTCAAGGGAAATGTTAATTTTCGGCAACCTGGAGCTTATCATTTGGCACGATTGATGGCCAAGGGTATTTATTCATTAAACATTTTATTATTTAAAAATCAATTTAAATTAACATCTACAGAAGAAATGTCACTTAAAAAAATTAGTTGTTTCATTATTAAATGTTATGCTAAAGTGTGGTTCACTGCTCCAAACGCAATAAAGGCTCCTATTAACGATATACTTTTTATACAAAAATTATACAATTATAAAAACGACGACAAAAAAATTGCTGAAACTGCATTAAAGAAATTTATAAACCATTTATGGTACCTCAGTGATGAATGTGTGGCATTTTCTATTTTCGACAATCGTGTTACCATTGAACAAAAAAGAAAAATGGCAATTAAAATGTTAATGAATGAGCTTGATGAGTATGAGGAAGTAGGAGAAGTTAAAAAAAAGCATTCATTAAAAATTGAAGACATCCCTAATTTCATACACCAAGACTTACCAGTTGATTTAATTACATATAAATCAATACAATTGTTAAATAGATTTAATATTCAGACTAATTTTTTATTACTGGATCCAAAATGCTGGGAAGAAAATGAAGAGTATAAAAAAGGAAAAGAGATAATCGGATCATTAAAAGTCGTTAACGATACTGCTGAACGCCATGTTAAGCTGATGGAAGAATTTAATTCTAAAATTACCAAAAATGAAGAACAAAAGCAGTTTTTATTACAAGTAAATATATTTTTTCAATAACTATTTAAGCTAATATTAAATTTTCTAAATTTTTTCCAGACAGTTCAAGATTATCGTAGAAAATATCAAAATCACAACCGCGAAACTATGTGTAAACCATATAAATTATAAGTATTATCATTATTATTATTATTTTTTTGTTTTTTAATATTTTCCTTGGAAAATAAAGAATTTACGAAAAATTTTGTTTTATTGTTTTTTATAGAAATTATTAAGTTCTATAATTAAGGTTCTATACATTTTTATGCTAAGTGCTATAGTTTTCTTAATAAATGTGTAAAACAATAAAAACTACCCTCTTTTTCCATTTTCAACCCTAAATCGGCACCAGAAGGGGTTGAGTAATACCTTCCAAATTTTACCCAATTTTACCCAAATTATTTTCTAACGTGACTTAACATATCCAGCAGGTACGGATTAAATATAAGTAAGTTTAAAAAATAAGGACCACCCTAAGAAACATACATGTGAATTCAGCCCGAAAAAATGTATTACTGTTAATAAACAAATTTCCGAATGTGTCTTATTAATCATATTATTACTGACATAACATAGAT